ACCACTTTCACTATATAGGTGAATTCAATCATAAATGCTCTTGTATATAACAATTCAATAAATTTATTTACATGTTATGGGTTCATTGAAAGCATTAACTTAACCTTTCTCCCTAATCATAAGAGTTCAAGCACTTAACGTACTTGGGATGTACAATATTTAGTAATGTTTGTAGTTACATTCAAATGATGTACTTGGAATCCTTAAAACGTAAGACTTAGGATCCATTTGGTAGCCATGAAAATGTTTTCTAGAAGTCATTTTCCATGTTTTCCTATGTTTAGAGTGGCAAAAATATTATGGTAAATAGAAAATATTTTCAAGTCAACAAAAAATTAAAGCAAAACATGTGAAAATTGGCTTTCATTTGTCTCCAATGGAAGACAACTTCCACAAGTTTTCTCCTAACAAGCCCACTAATCTCCATCAAACTTTTAACTCTTTCATAATCACAAGTCATCATATTTTTCACTTTTTTTAATTCTTCTATTTCATTTGCTTTAGCAACTATCTTTCTTTTTTTTTTTCATGGGACTTAGGTAAGCACTGAAGAATTATTAATTGTGTTAGCTTTTTTTCTTTTGCCAAAGCTTTGTCTCAGCTTCAAATTTTCACTTTTGTTTCATCTCCTCCGAAAAACCCACAAGCATATCCAAATTCTTATCTCTTTCCTTTGAATTCTTTCGTATCTTTTTTTTTTTTTTTTTCACAACCACCACCCCAAAGATCTCCCATAATTTATCATCATTTTCTTTTGTTTTATAATCTTTCTTTAATTATCCACAAATAATTCTTGTACTTTGAAAACCAAAAAACCACAAAAGTCTTTAGCCAAAGTCTATTACCCACAAGAAAAAAACCTTCAAATCCAATGATTTTGATGGTTTTTATCTATTTGAAATGGGTATTTATGAATTTTTATGAGTTTCTAAAATTTTTATGAATATGGATGTGGTTGACTTTTGAGTTGATGAATTGTTCTTGTTAAAATCATGAAAAGCTTTTATGAAATATTATAATCAAACTATGGAATATTTATGAAAAATGTTAAAATCATAAAAAAAAATTTCATGAATGCTAATGGAATATATTTTTGGTTATTTTCATCCAAATAGCGGAAGATAGTTAAAATAAAATTCTTCAAACAATAAAAAATATTGTTTTCTAAAAAAAGAATTTTCATGGAAAATATTTTACTTCTGGAAGTTATGTTTAGGTTACCAAACGAAGTCTTAACATCTTACGATTTTATCTTCTAAAAAACGTCTCATAAGCTAAAAATGATGTGAACATTTATACGGTAGGTCAAACTCTGGCACATATTCAATGTGAGATTCATGGCTCCCTTCTTGGGATTGTGGCATCATGTTCCACTACAACAAGGCTTTGTTATCTTGAATGACATATCGTTAATATCTTCAAAGCTGGCTTTGATACCTAATGCAAAGGTTCATACCAACCTATAAAGTATTATCTGCTTTATCTATTAGACATCACTAATCAACAGCTTGAGAAAATACTATACAAAGGTGTTCTATTCGTATACAAAAGATTTTCACTATACAAGGAAAAAAATACCATATGATAATCATAATCGTATTATAATCCTAGATATTATTCTAATTATAAGATTATAATCCCTAACACTATGTTTAACTAAATAATTACATAATATTATTGATCATTACATTAACACTCCTTCAAACTCAATGTGGTATTATATATGCCAGCTTGAGTTTGTTAATTAATTCTTCAAAATAACCAAGAAAATATTTTTTAGTAAAAAAAATCAACAGTTTGATTTGTAGAAGATACAAAAGTCACTATAAGAAATAGTATTTTTAGTGGAATAAACATTGTCACTAAAAGTGTAAAATTTAGCCACTCAAATTTATAGTGACCAATTTTAAAGTCGTCACTTGTTATTACAAATAACTCTGTAACTATTGTATTAGTGAATGGGCTTAAGCTAGAATGTATTTTCTAGAAATTTGTGAAGAGATCAAAGAATTTGTTAAGTGATCTAACCTTTATAGTTAGTTATTATGTAATTTTTTTATGATTTATATTTTTTTTCTAAATATCTAAATGTATTTTATTTCTTATAAAATGTGAAGCATGCATAAGGAAAAACTCAAGAGAGAGAATCCTTAAAATGTAGAGCAAAGACACAAAAGAATTTCATCAATTGTTTAAGATTATTGAGCTTCTAATGAGATTAATGTCTTATATTTTCAATTTCTTTGGTCGAGCTGAACTTGGATGTAAAGGTTGCTCATGTATTTGTACAATTCTTATTTTATAAAAAAAGGCAAAAAAAAAAAATGGGCAACTATAAATATTATATTTTGTCTAAAATTTTCATAATTTTTTTAGACAATTTCAACCCAACTGAGTTTAATTTTTTCCCATTGCTTTTATGGGTTTTGAATTTGGGATAATTCAATATTAAATTAAAGTTGGTTTTTGAAACTGCCGAATTCAATTTGAAATCAATTGGGCTTTTAGGTCTTTAAATATTTAATTAAGCCTCCAGATTTTTATGAGATTTTTTTAGTTTTTTTATTTTCGGATTTTGAAAATTATAAATTGGACCTTTGCTTTGTAATTGGGGCTTTTAAATTAGTCTAACTAGATTTTTAATTTCATATGGGCTTTGGACCCAATAAGAACACCGAATTGTCCAAAATTATTTTTTTTTCCTTTCTTCAAACTTTCGCCTTTTTCTTTTTTTCCCTATTTCTTTTATTTTATTTTCAATAAATTTTGAAGATTTAAAAAATAAAAAATAAGTAAAACAAAAAAAAAAAATAGAAAATCTAAAGAGAGGTAAGATTCTGATTCAAATGTTTTTGAAAAGCTTGAATTTGAGAATAAAGGAAAATAGAAATCATTGAAATTTTTTTTTAAATACTTGGGCCTCTAAAACAAAATAAAAGGAAAAAAAAATCAGATTAGATCTCGTTCATTCAATGAAAATCCATGATCTTTAACAAAATATCCCTTTATAGTCAGATAACATATAATAATTAGGGAAGCCAATTAAAACAATAATCAAAAGCAAATACACAACAATGCACTATAGCATCCAGAGCCATAAAAAAAAAAAGGTTCGTGAAAGAAATTTTTGTGGCTGTGTTTTTTAGGGGTTCTGGGTTTAGATGATTTAGCTTTTATTTTCGTGCATCTAGATCGCGAAAAGGACGAAAGAAACAAAGTATTTTCCTAGTGGTTTTAGGCTTTCCAATGAGAGTGAAAACAATCTAACATAATTGCTATAATTGTTTGAGGAAATATTTTATTAGAATTAAATCATTCAAAATCACTTCACAAAAAGTATAATTCTCTTACTATTTAAATTTAATATTATAGCTAAAATGTAAATTTTATTAATTAAATTCTTTAGTATACACAAGCTTTTCATATTATTTGTTTTAGAAAATAAATATCAATCAATCAAAAGTCAAAATTATTTTGGTAAGTTTCATTTCATTTTTTGTTAAAAGTAATTTCTAGCTTTGTTTTTAATGTGATTTAATTATATATATATTTTTTATCTACGTTTGTAAATATTAGAAAAATAAAAATTAATAAAATAAAAAAGGAAAGAAATAAAATTAGAATAATTGACCAAGAATTTTTATTCTTTGTTAACGCATCAAAATGTATTTATTAGAAGAAAATAAAATTTTTATAATTATTATGAATGAAAATAAATTATCATTTTTGTCATTGATTTTAAGTTGAATTTTTAATATCAAAGACAAAAATAATAGTTCTGTTTCATTTTAAAAATTTTAAAATATTTGATTTTTTAATAAATATATTTAATATGATAACAAAGACTAATAATTCTAGATTTATTATCCTAAATTGTAATTTTCTCTTATTTTATGCAAAATTGATAGAGCCATATTGACATCATTTTAAAAGGTTTAGGAATATCATGAGACAATTTAAAATTTAGGAATCAAAATGTAGGTTTCATTTCTTTCTTACTTTATTATTATTTATTTTTTTCTCCTAAAAAAAGAGAAATTATGTTTTTAGGTATAAAAAGTAAACAATTTTTTTATGAAATTATATTATTAGAAGAAATTATAATTATAATTAAATAATTTTTAATATACATTAATAAGGAAAACCAATAAGTAAACCAAATTGACAACTAATCAATCAAAATATAATTTGAACAAAACTCACATTTGGTGGAATTTGATCCTAAAGACAAATATTTGAAAGCTCATATTATCGAGACAAAATTTCATTAGAAAGTAAATAATATTCTTTAAATAAGTAAAAGTAAAAAATTAATTTATGGGATAATTTATTTAAAAATATGTCTTATTTCACATTTTAATAGAAATAATTTATTAATGGCTAAATTCTATCAACTAACAAATTTATAATCATATAATATAATATATATAAAATATTTTTTAAGAAAAATTTACATTTTTTATATTTGTATTAATTTTAATAAATCAAGATAAATAAATTACACAAAAATTTATTAAAACACATATTAATTTAAATTTTTTTAGAATTCTCGAATGTGGCTATGCCACTGGTTCTATCAATAGGTCGGACCGTCCATTAAGCTCGCGGGTTTCAATTTGTTGAGGCTGGGCTTCAAATAAAATTTGTGAAGCTTGAAAAAAATATAGTAATAATGAGGTGCATAAAAAAATTATGAGACCGCCCTCACAATAACCTTCCTCATCACCAAGTTAAATTGCCAAGGGGGACAGCGAGCTTTACCGGTTCCTGATTTTCAGCCTGTCGGTGAGAATAGTTAAAATGTAAAGGGCAAATGTATAATTCCACCATAAAACGTAGCCCCATTCTGGAAAACTCTCACGCACTCTCACTCCTTTGTACCACTATTTATAATTGCGATCTATCAGTTACTCCGTGTTATTTCCCGCGGCTTTGAACGCGCCTTCAATTTTGGCTTTTTTCTTTTTCTTTTTTTTATTGTTATTTTTAATTGTCTCCTCTTCGCATTCTGAAAATCCAAAAAGAAAATAAAATTTAATATTATTTAATTTTTATTTATTTTTTTAGTTTTGTTTTCGGAGCCCAATGTTGCAGGAATCGTTGTGACTTTTTCACTAGTTAAAACTACCTGTGCCAGGTTTGTATAAATGATGCGGCCAATCCTTCTTTTTTTTGTTCATCGATTTTTAAAAATTTGTTTTCCCTTTTGTAAAATTTAATTAAAAATCTTCAATCTTCTCAAGATTTCAATGCTAGTCTTCAGCAATGATCGAGTGGATCTTGTTTGGATTAAATGGAAGTGAGGAGAAAGTGGAGGAAAGTGAGGGAAAATAATGAAGTTCTACATATCAACAACAGGGATAGGGAGGGTTACGATATCGAACTCGAGTGGAGGAGGTGGAGGAGGAGGAGGAGGGGGGAGCAAGGGAGCGACGGTGGCAATAACGGGGGCTGCGGCGGCGCGTGGACGGCTATCGAGCCGGACTCTGTTGCCGGTGGTGTTAGTTTTGGGGATCGTTTTGCCTTTCCTTTTCGTTAGAATTGCCTTCTTGGTTCTTGAATCTGCTTCTTCGTCTTCTTGTTCTTCCCCTATCGGTAATTTCCTATATCCTTTGTTCACTCCAATTCGTTTTAACCGAATCTTACTATTTTTGCTTTTTTTTTTGTTTTGGAAAATAATTTTTTAGGGATGCACTGCTTTAACGGTGTTGTACCTTTGGTTTGTATCAATTTTACTGTATTTTTTTTACTTTTAAATTCAATAAATTATTATTACTTTTTTGGAGAATTGACCAATGAGTTGCTTATATTTAATCACTCTGCCGTTCGTTTAAGCACCTGGCCTATGTTTTTATTTACTTTAAATGTTGAAAATTTTATTATATTTCATTTTATTTTAAAGTTCTAATGGATGATTCTAATTATATCTTTTTTTTTTACATTTTTTAAAATTATTTTAAAATGAAATTTATTAAATAATTCTTTTCTTCATATATTTTTTTTCATTTTTAAGTTTTTTATTTGCAAATTCTACTATTTTTAAGAATTTTCAATTTTTAAAAATATTAAAATTTGTATATTTGAAAGATTTAAAAGTTTTTGAATTTATATATTAAAAAATTTAAAAATTTTTATAAGATATTATTAAAATTCTTTTCCTCAAGTTAAATGTAATTTTGTTTTTAATTTATGAGGATATAAAAATTTGATAAATTATATAATTTAATGAAATTTTATATTTAAAAATTTTAAAATTAAGATGAAAAAAAACTAAATAAATAGTTTTATCTAAAAATTTTGAAAAAAAAAAGTTTAAACGTGGAGAAAAAAAGTGCGTTTAAAAACTCTCAAACTTTTGTTGAAAGTAGTAATTAACTGTTCATTTTAATGGCATTTTGCAGATTGCATAGGATGGAGGCTTTTTAGTGGACGTGACACATCTCAGGTTAGTGTCATTTTAGTGGTATAAAACTTTTTTTTTTATTATATGAGGAGAGTAAAATTTTAATATAAATAAAAGGAAAAAAAAAAACTCGAAATCAGATTTTTTTATGTCTCCTCGAACGTCGTAGACGGTATAAAAACTTTTATAGTAACCGATTTGCCCTTTATATTGTGAAGGGGATTTTTCTTCATTTCCTTCATTTTAAGTTATGAGAAAATAGTAATTACAAAAATTAAGAAAAAAAAGGACATAATCTGAACAAGTCATGCTAGAATGTACGAGCAACTTGTAGTATTAGATTGCCACGTGTATCAAGGGGAGGTGGGCAGGATTGGAATTTGTGAACTTTATGGTTTTTTAGGAGAAAATATTTATCCATAAAATATTAAAAAAAATACGAAACTTAAAATAATTATGACAATGAGGTGAAAATGAAAAAAAAAAAAAGTTGAATTTTTTGAAATAAAAAGGAGTGTCAGGGGTCATTGCTGCCACTTGGATTTTGATTAAAGATTAGAATTCCCTAATTTTTTTTTTTTTTGCTAAAAAGAAAAAAATCTTTTGTGTTATAATTCAATAATCATTAATTTTTAATATTTTATTTCAAGCAATCAAACTCTTAAGTTTTTATTTTAATTCAATTAAATCTTTAAATAAATAAAATTTAATTATGTGATAAAATTTAATAAATAAAATTTCAAATTACAAATAATTGAATTTTTAGAGGGATTTGGAGGGAGAGGGATAAAGAAAATAAAAAAGAAAAAAGAGGATATTTTATTTTATTTTATATAATATATATTAATTATGTCATTTAGCAAATTTTTATTTATTTTATTAATATTATATAAAATTTTATTTTAGTAGGTAAAAAAAATTAATGATGGCAACTGTTTTATTCAAATAAAAACTTAATTGCGTGTAAATAAATATTGGATAAGTTGATTAATTGTAATAAAAAAAAATAAGAGTTTAGATAAAGTTTTAATTATAATTCATGGATCTTTTATGCCTTTTAATTTTTTTTTTAATTTCTGTCACCTTTTCCCAACTTAATTTATCTATTTTTCTCGAACAAGACCCAAATTTTGATTATGATCAATTTTGGGATAAAATCCAAAATGATAACGATGTCTTGGTAATTAATTTGCAAAATCATGCCAGATATCTGTCAATATTTTATCCTGACGCGTTACCTTCTTTTGGCGGGCGCAAGTTGCTCTATACCTCAATTCCTGATTTTAAAAAGTGCCTATTTTTCATTTTAAAAGAAATGGAATTCAATTTTTTTTTTGAACATATTTCCTATCATTTTTTTATTATAATTTTATAATTATTTAGTTACATTAAAATTTATTTAAAAATTTATTATTTATAAATGTGTGGTTTCACATAAATTTTTGATAGATTTTTATATAATTTTAAATTTTTATTGATTAATTATATTATAATAATTATAAATATATTTTTTTCTCTTAAGAGGAGTATCGAATCATCCATCTATTCTTATAATGGAGGGTGGATACAATAGTATTTTGTTTTTGTATAAAAGAGAATATTATGATTGTTAAAATAAAAAGAATATTATGGCTTGATAACTTTGATGTAAGATCTCAACTCAAGTTTCCATCTCTTAAATATTGTTTCTTTCTTTGGGTACAATGGGAAATATAATAATTGTTTCTATAATACTGGAATTTAGGACTCCTATGACTTGAAACTTGAAGGTTGGAGTTTACATTAGTAAAATAGTAGAAAAAAGAAAAGAAATTTTGATTGAATTATGGTACTATTGTCCAAAATTTTCAACTTGCAAGTCTAAGAAAAATCAGTTTTATCTTTTCATTATTTTAATGCTTTTTCCTCTGTACACTTTGACATTTTCTATGCCCACATATTTGTACATAGTAAAGGATGAAACAGTGGGGACATTTTGGCAAACGGGACATCTATTATCATCCAAAACGAAAATACATTAAAAGAAAAAAAAAATTGATAAAGAAAACAAAATGTGTAATGGTGGGGTATACTTTTTCTTTTTTACATTTGTTTTGTCGCTGTTTCAACTTATTTCTATAGTGGGCACTCAAACCAAAAGATATACTATTAAAAATGATTTTGATGATTGAAAAAAAGATATATTTCTATTTTGTAGCTTTTTTTAATTTTATATATCTAGGACCTCTCATAGAGTTTGAGATATATTTAGAAAAATCTACAAGGGGAATGGCATTTCGGTCAAAAACCCAAAACATTTTGGAAACAACAAAATGCTGATAATAATAAATGGATCATGAAAAAACATATCTGGAAGGAAATGTCGTTATTTCACTTCCATTAAGTTGCTTTCTTAGACACATGGCCAGTTGTCATGCCATCGTCATATTATTATGCTCGTCCACTTGCACGAATTTTCTGCTGTCAATACTTTTTACATGTTTCCGCTATGTTCTCAATGAAAGCTAGAAAAAGTGTAGAGCTTTTTTTAGGTTTGGAACAAGTCAAAAAGGAATCCTGTCAATGATGGTCCATCATCATTACCTTTAGTCATCATATATGTCAACATGGTTTAGTGAAATCAACGGTTTGAAAGGCATGTGCAGTATAGTTGATCATATCTGATTTAGTTGTATGGTTTTATCATGATCATGCATGTACCATAAAGAAACTCAAAGAAGAACTGACAAGGGCACTAATGGAGGTGAATGATGGCAACAGTGTTGAAGGGGGAATAAAGGGTTCCTTGGAGTCATTCAATGAGCTTGTGAAGGAGATGACGTCAAAACAACGAGACATCAAGGCCTTTGCTTTCAAGACAAAGGCTATGGTAATTTACTCTTACTCATTTTGTTCTTGTCTTTATAGATCAATTTATCTCCGTTATTGATAATGGGTTAATTTTTTTTTTTTTCCTCTGAAGAAACTGGCTTAATTCTGCCAAAACATCCTAAGTAGTGATTTGAATTTATATTAGCATTATGCTCTTTATTTCATTTTAATTGATGTGAATCAAAGCTATGCTTATTTCACCCTCTACCTTACTAACAAAATATATATGAGGAATTTTTAAGATTCTTAAATTATAGAATCTAGACTTTAATCACTCGCTACATGAATGTCTTCTTTGACTTTAGTAGTAATTTCACAGTTTTAATTAAAATAGGGAATGAAAGCGGAAGAATGAAAGAGGAAAAATGAAAAATGTTCAAAAGACTGAAGTGTTGGATTTCTTCTAGAAAGAGGGGAAGGACAAATGGCAATGTAGGCAATCAGAGTTACGAATTCTACTCGTTTAAAAAAGTTTGAAAGAAACTGCCAGTGTAATGTGAGACCCAAATCAGGGTCTCAGATATTATGTTGTTAATAGGTATATATGGAATGTGCACTTTTTGACTTAAAATGGATAAAACTTGACACAGGGTACTGGGACTAAGCAATTGAGACACAGGGAAAAATAGGGCAAAAAATTAAGAGATAAAAACATATGCATTACCCATACTTTACTGTAGGACATGAGGACATCATATGCCCGATCATTTTCAATGGATGTAAATTGTTAGATTGGCTTGTTGGAAGCACAGTTTTAGAGTAACTTAATGAATTTTCTTAGAGCCAAAAGCTTGTTTGATCAACTAAAAGTTTTATGAACTCAGAAGCCAGCAGTAGTTTTTTAATTACCAAGAAGATTACAGTTGCATTCTTCATAAAAAAGGAAAATTGGGTCATGAACTTTCAAAAGGATTCCTAGGGATTCTTATAACTCCAGACTAATTAAATTTGGATGCCTTTACAGTCTGAAAATTACATATGGTATATGCATGCATGTGGACAAAGATGGTGGGTTGCTCTTGGTTTCGGACTTTTGGATGTTCTAGGCCATTTTATCTTGACCTATGTCTTTATTGGTTGTTTGTCAAAACATTAAGATGTATATTGTCATTAAAGGTCACGTAACCTTTTGGGGTTCTACCAGATATTATTTCTCATTCAATGAGAGAAGTTTTGCTGATGTGTGGCAAAAGCATTCCTCCAACATGCATTAGAATTTCATCATTGAATGTTGAGAAAGTATGAAAGTTGCCAAGGCATCTTTCCCATGAATTTACCCTAAATATTATTTAATTAGGGCTGCCATGTGAGGACCATCTCTCTTGAATCGTAAAACATACAAAATTTGATTAAGCTAATTGATGATGATGCATTTTGTCCACAATTAGCCAATGCAACTATTTAAGCAAATTGCTTTTGGTTTTTAGCTATTTTTGTTTTATATTTGTCCTTGTTTATTTTTATTTTTGTTTTTCTTTGGGAGAGCTATTTCTAGTTCCTGTGGATTTGTTTCAAGAAATGAGTGTTGGGCAAAGATCGAGACAAGAACTCAGTGTGACAAAAAGATAGATTTAGATTAATAATGACCTCAAAATACCTTTTTTATAAATTGTTTGTAAGCAATACCTAATTGTTTTGATATAGATAATTATTGCCTCTTATTCCTAGTACAAGTGGTACTACCATATCGTTCTTTTTCTCTTTAACACCGGCATTTTGACAGACTTCTACATGTGAACTAGATAAATAATTCATATGGGGTAAAAGTTCATATTTGTATCAATGGTGTTTCTTTTATTGAAATCAATAAGTATATTTTATAACTAGTAAGTTTGTATTATTTGAAGTGAGGAAATCTTTAGAATAAAACTATTTTATTCTTTTATATTTTTTTTATTACAATGCTAGAATTGCATGAAAATATATAGGCTAAAGATTGAATATTCTCAATCTTAAAACTCAAGATTTTATGCATTAAAACAGCTAATTAAATGAGTAATTTACTCTTTACACATAATAAAAAAATATAGTGGATTTTGTGTAATTACTTAAATCACTTCTTATTTTAAAAATAAGAAACTTAACTAAAATAGATAAAGTCAACTAATCAAGTACTAATGAAGATTAGATTTCCACACTCCCTTTCAAGCTGGGTGGCAGATGTCAATCATGCCTAGCTTGGACTTCAGATTCTCAAAGTTGTTCTGAGAGAGAGCCTTAGTGAGTATGTTTGTAGTTTGAAGGCATATGGGAGTATAAACTTATCTAACAATTCCTTCCTCTATCTCCTCTTTAATGAAATGATGATCAATCTCCACATGTTTAGTCCTATCCTGATGAACAAGATTTTTGCCATACTTATGGCAGCTTTGTTGTCGTAGAATATCTTCATGGATTCTTCTACAAAGGTTTTTAACTCCTTAGTAACCTTTTCAGCCAAATTGCCTCGTATATATCATGAGACAGCTCTAAGCTCAGCTTCCGTGCTATTTCTAGCCACCACAGATTGATTCATGCTTTGCCAAGTAACCAAATTTCCCCACACATAGGTACAATAACCAATAGTTGATAAGGCAAGGGCTTTGAAATTTCATAACTCGATAAGGCATTCTGTTTATTAGATTTGTAGTAGTAAGAACAGCCTTATCCTAAAAATGCTTAGGTACATGGGCAGCCATCATGAGGGATCTTGCAACTTCTAACAAATGTCGATTCTTTCTTTCAGCAACGCCATTTTGTTGAGGAGTGTCGACACATGAGTTTTGATGAATTATATCATGCTTCATTAGATATGATCCAAGAATTGAATTGTAGTATTCTCTCCCATTGTCGGTTCTCAACACTTGGATTTTGATTTTGAATTGAGTTTGGATCATATTGTTGAAGTTTTGGAATAGCTAGCCGACTTCTGATTTTACGTCGTAAGGAATACCTAAGTAACCTTGGTGTGATTATCAATTAATGTGACAAACCATCTGGAGCCAGTAATGTTATTTACTCTTGAGGGACCCCAAATGTCATGTGTATCTTGAAAAAGGATGGAATGGTTTGTAAGGCAGATTAGGATATGTGGTACAAGTATGTTTGGATAGTTGGCAAACTTTACATTGAAGGTTGTTAGGATTTTGATTGAATAATGAGGGAAACAACTTTTAAGGTACAAAAAATTTGGATGAGCTAACTGATAGTGCCACAACATAATAGTACTATCTTTATTATTAGTGGAGGATGAAACCATACAAGAGATCTTTTGATATTGTCTTTCAGAATCATTAGCTCTTAGGATATTGAGTCTTGCACCCATCTTAGCATTGTCAATCATCTTCCTGAATCCAAATCCTAAAATTCACACATATTTGAAAGAAATTTAGTAACAAACTTAAGGGTTCTTGTAAGTTTACTTATAGATAGTAGATTGCAACTTAGATTTGGGATAAACAAAACAAAATCAAGTGTTATCTCTTTAGAAATAATAACAGAACATGTATCGGTTACTTTTGAAAGTGACTCACCGGCAATTCAAACTGTGAAGTTTTCATAACATGGATTGTATTTACTAAATACAGATGCATTCCTAGTTATATGGTTTGAAACTTCTGAATCTACAATTTATAAATTTGATTTTTATAGTTTTACACTCAAGGCACTTAGAAAATTATCTTTTTGTGGTAGAGAACCTGTTCGAATAGAAGTGGTAATGTTCTGTAATGATTGAGAAACACTAGCTCCAAGGTTAGAGGTAACCTTCGACACCGGACTCTTCTTTCCGTTGGCCATATTGGACTCTGAGTGAAAATTTTCAACGGTTCAGATCGAGCTTTGATATCATGAAGAAATCTCTAAAATAAAACTATTTTATTCTTTTATATTTTTCTTATTACAATGCTAGAATTGTATGAAAATATATAGGCTAAAAATTGAATATTCTCAGTCTTAAAATCCAAGATTTTCATGTATTAAAATAACTAATCAAAGAAATAATTTACTCTCTACACATAATAAGAAAATATCTAATGGATTTGGTGTAATTACCCAAATAACTTCTTATTTTAAAAATAAGAGACTTAATTAAAATAGATAAAGTCAACTAATCAAGTAATAATGAAGATTAGATTTCTTTGTGAAGGAAAGCCTATTCTATTCCAAGTTAGAAATAGCTAACTTAACCAGCAACATGGACTTTCCCATTCTGTCAAATGGTTGAGTTAATGTTGGATTTAAAAGTGTTCTAGAGAGCACTGATGATGAGACTTTACGTTTAGCATTACTCAATTGTGTGGCATCAGAATTTTTGTTCTAACTAGTTCTTATATGTTGCGGCAGTCCAGTTGCCTCTGTTGACTTATGTCAGTATGAAAAAGGTTGTTTCACCACATGTTGTAAGGTGTTTGACCTCAAAATGGATAAGCTTACAGAGACTGCATTTAATTATTACGCTCATGTGCTCGTGTCCTCATGTTCTGAAATAGCTGCAAACTTACTTGATCCTATTTGTTGCTGGCAATCCATCAAATATGATTGTGTGTAATTGATCTTGAACTTTTTATTAGGTTGAGAATTGTGGCATATTTTACCTTCCTTCATAGGCTACTATTTTTCAGGACTTGAGTTAATGCTCACTATCATGCCCATTTCTTTCCTGTTTCTGACACATCCATTAATTGTTTGTGTTTACTCATGAATTACCAGGGAAATTTGATTATCAGTGTCTAACAAGTAATTAGGAAAGAAATAATAATAAAAAAGGTCCTTGCTATTCTTGTCATTGGTCAGAGTCCCATCACCAGAGAAAGATCTTAAAATTTGTATAAATGATCAATTGTTACCTAGTGGAATAACATCAATTGTGTTCTACTTTCTCTTAGGAACTTGGACGAAACACCTGCATTACAATGTCATGCAATTTGATATATTTTTGTTTCAAGCCTTTGATTCTTCTGAATCATGAGGATGCCCAAGTGTTAGGAATAAACAATTATTTTATCATATATATTGTTTTCTGGTTCGATGCTACTCACTAAACAATGTTTTTGGGTGTGTTTACATATTTTCTTGTGGTTTGTATTTGCTTGTATGTTCTTTTGCTTGTACATGGAATTAATGCTTTTGATTACAATGAGTATAAGAAACTGTTCTGTCTAATGAATGGAAACAACTGAAATGAGGTGTCATTGATAATTATATATTTTAAGTCATTTGTTCAAATGTAACTTGCAATACGTGTATCCGCTTCAACATCCTGTAATAAAACAAAGTACTTTCTTTTTTTATTTCCAGCTATTAGGTATGGAGCAAAAGGTGCACTCAGCAAAGAAGCGTGAGTTAATGTACTGGTATTTAGCTTCACGGGGTGTCCCAAAGAGCCTACATTGCCTATGCCTGAAATTGGCAGAAGAGTATACTGTAAACGCAATGGCCCGTTCTCATTTACCTCCACCTGAACACGTTTCTCGTCTTGCTGACACATCCTTTCACCATGTTGTGCTTCTGACTGACAATGTCCTGGCCGCCTCTGTTGTCATATCATCTACAGTTGAAAATGCAGCAAATCCCGAAAATATGGTGTTTCACATAGTAACAGACAAGAAAACTTACACCCCAATGCATGCATGGTTTGCAATAAATTCTCTCAAATCAGCAGCCGTGGAAGTTAAGGGATTACATCAATATGATTGGTCTGAGGAGGTGAATGTTGGAGTTAAGCAGATGTTGGAAATTCATCGCTTGATCTGGAGTCATTCCTACAATAATCTGAAAGAAGAAGACTTTGACTATGAAGGAGAGAATAAAAATTGTTTGGAGGCTTTGAGCCCTAGCTGCCTTTCCCTTATGAATCATCTTCGCATTTATATCCCTGAAGTAATTACTCTAAAATTTGCTTTGAATTTTCTGATAAGCAATTTATTCTCAACCTTAAATTTCAGCGGGCATTGATATTTTCTTAACTTTCATGGGTTGCACAGCTGTTTCCAGATCTCGACAAGATAGTATTCTTGGACGATGATGTTGTAGTACAACATGACATAGCATCATTGTGGAAATTGGATCTCAATGGGAAAGTTGTTGGTGCAGTTGTTGACTCATGGTGTGGCGACAACTGTTGTCCAGGAAGGAAATACGAGGACTACTTGAATTTTTCACACCCAATAATTTCATCCAACCTTGATCAAGATCATTGTGCATGGCTTTCTGGTATGAATGTCTTCGATCTTGAGGCTTGGAGGAGGACCAACATCACAACATCTTATCATAAATGGTTGAAACTTGTAAGTAAATTGTCGGTCGGCTGATCAGCTATTTGGCTAATATTGCTTTAATGTCCATTTTATTGCAAATCATCACCTAAATTCAGTGGATAAATCAAAATTAAGGAAACTGTATTTGTTTATAGACTTCAAGTTGCACAAAGCATTTTGCTTATCCCTATTGACACCTCTACTGCTTGGCATTGCATTTTCGTACCGCGTAGCATGGTACTGATTGAAATCTTAGACCTGGCAATTGGTGTATTTGTGTTGTTATCAATGGGAAAAATGGAACATTTTTATCTTAATTGTAAAATGAATTAATTCCCTTTTTGTTAGTTACCGTAATCCAATAAATAATCTTTTTACAGAATCTCAATTCTGGATTGACGCTATGGCAACCGGGAGTACTGCCACCAACCTTGCTTGCTTTTGAGGGTCATGTGCATCCTATTGATCCGTTATGGCATGTCGCTGGGTTAGGCTATCGATCCTCGTCTGCTCATGGAGAGATATTGGAGGCTGCTGCTGTTTTGCATTTCACTGGCCCTGCAAAGCCATGGCTCGAGATTGGGTCTCCAGAAGCACGAAGCCTGTGGAATAGACATGTAAATTTCTCAAACAGCTTTATTCGGAAATGTAGAATATTGGGGGTAGGAGGATGAAGTTCTCTCACATTTACATACTCAGTTTCGGAACCAAACCGGCAGTAACTGTATGGAACCAGAGGGAAGAAGGTTTTGCCTTCAGTCTCTGCTTATACTTTCATAGCACGACATTGGTAGCTTTTCATGTCCATAATAGAAAATAGATGAAGGTACTTCCTGATATACAATAGAGTAAGAATCTTAAACCTTCAAGGGATAATAGTGATTATATCGTTGTAGCTCTTCAACAAAATTGTAAATTACTTTAGTCAGCTTATTGACATTACTTTATCTCAATGGTGAAACTCAATTTTAATTTTTTTTTTAAAATATGTATTTTTTCCAGTTCAGAGTCACACTTAACCCTCTTGCTTCAGAACTCTTAGTCGAATGAATCTTGACAAAATAGGGGTTGAATTAATTTTTTACCAAATTAAATCGATCAGGCGATAAGGTGAGTTTTAATTCAAATGAGTAGGAAAAAGAGCGAAAGTATGATGAGTTTTGGGTGTTTCCTATGGAGGCTCTTCCAACGGTTGCATCCTCCATTTTAGCAACTTAACTTAACTCTAATTTTGGCTCAAAGCAGCGGCTGAAGAAAGTTATTCCGCAAAATCCATTTCTGATTCCTTGGCAGTTTAGCTGCTGCCAATATTTTTCTGACTAACCACTATATCCATTTTACTACCACATGGAGTTCTCTCATTCGTCCAACTAAGCATCAACTTGGCTGATTTGGTTGCTGCGTGCCATTGTCATCTCACCATTCTGTCATCGAAATTTTAGTGACTGGCATGTCTTTATCATGCCACATGTCAAATATTGATTAATTGATAAAATTTCCTGCCATATTTACTGCAAAGTCAGCCTTCTAGCCACGTCTGCTTTGTTGCCGGGTAAATTTTAGTTGTCAAATATTTTTTCCTTTGAGCCAAAAAAAAAAAAAAAGGAAAGAAGAAGAAAGAAAGGTATTTCAATTGGAAACTCGCCATTTTTACCGGCCCATCCGATCAGCATTTTTTAGTTGACATTTGCTACGAGATAATCATTTTAAAAAATAAAATAATTTATATATGATAATTAAATTATTATATTTAGTAAATGATTGATGATTTTATGTAACGATAATTTTGAATCATTAAAAATAATCAAATTATTATTTTAGGAGATAATTTAATTCTCATTTAAAAGAGTAAAAAATTTTTATTATAAAGATGAAATGATATATAAAATTAATAATATTTAATATTATTCATTTAATATGTGAATAAAAATTTATTTTTCTTAAAATTATATTCATTTTATATTATAAATTTTTATATTTTCAAACTAATATTTATTATAAAAAGTTGAAAAATAAATTGTATATTTTTTATTTTTTAATATTTTATATATATTATAATTAATCATTTTGTTTTTCTTTTATTATGATTTGAATATATTAGTTTTATTTTCTAATTAATTTTTTTACATAATTTATATTATAGTATCAATATATATACGAAATTTAATAATTTAATAATATTTTATTATAAAATAAATAAAATATTACTAATATTTACAAATTATTATCTTTAAACAATATTAAAACCATTAGCTTGTGTAACTATTACAATATGTCAGATTATTTTTGTACTTTTAAATAAAATAATGTTTAATTTTTAATAATAACAAATATAATGATATTTAATTTTTAAAAATTAATGATTATTAATTAAATAAAATGATTTCAAATCACAAATGATAAAATCATCTTAATAATAAAATCACCTCGATAATTACATTATCAGGATAATCTTACAAAAAATACCAAATAATACCTTAGAGTTTGAATAAAACTCTCAATTAAGTCAATAAATTTTGAGGGCTGCTCAATCCGTAATTTCCTTTTTATTTTCAAATTTCTTTCTAACTCTGCCTCTCTTCTCTTCATCTTTACCTCTTTATCGTCATGCATGGTTAATGGAAGCCTCTACGATGGAAATTTGAGAAATTTATGAATGGTCAATTTTTAAAAAATTCTTTAAGTGAATAATTTTTTTAACAAAAAGTTTTTTGTCTTCTTTTAATCATAATATATTAAAACATTGAAAATGATGATTATTTCAAAATTTAAAAAAGGAGATTTTCTAAAGAAATTTAAACATGAAAATTTTCTTTAATAAAAATGAATTCTTTTAAGGATTATTATAGAAAGTCTCAAGTATGCAAACATTTTTCAAAATTTTGTTGATGACAAAAGAAATTAAAAGAATTAGATTTAAATATTAAATTAAGATCATTTTTATAAGTTAAAAGGATAACATATAATTAACCCATATCTTTTTTTGAATGGAGGATGTTAATACTTTTTTCACATATAACAGTATTTTCAAACTCAATTTTAGTTTTGATAACTCAAAAAAATTATTGAGATTTATTAAAAAATTAAGTTTTCTTATGCGATCAATGACATTTAAAAAAAATATTAATGACGACTCTATCTTCAAAATCTTTGAAACGGATGGACTCTGGTTTGCATGTTGTGATAATACATAATCAAGATAAATTCATTAAGCTAAATGAGAAAATAGTTAGTACACTGTCACAATGAGACAAAGGAAATGAAAGATAAAATGCATAAAGAAAGGACAAAAATAAAATTTTAATGTCTTTGATTTTATTTCTAAATTGTTTTAATTTAATTAAAGATAACAATGATAATTTATAGGTGAAATTTAATTGTATGACCTATAAATCTTTGAAATTTGATGGGCTGGAATTTGGTTATATCTCTGAATCATTTGTTATTTAATTAGAAAAAAAAAAAAGATGATTTATAGCTGAATTCTGATTGGTTGGACTATGATAAGTCTTTGAAATTTGATTGGCCAAACCATTTGTTTTCATCTTGACTTGTCATGATAAATCATGAATTAATTTCTTTAGCAGCACTAGAAAATTTTAATTGGTAAATTAAAAAAAAAGAAAGAAAAAAAAGCCATAAGCCACTTTATAAATAGTCGAAAATTTTCGCTAGGAAATGAGATTCAAAGCAAAGAAGCCCTTAACAAATCATAAGTATCAAACACATATCAACAAATGGTAAGACTGCATCTGTTAAAAATATGCTTACATTTGGACATAAACAAACATGACATACTGGTTCCCCTTGAACTGTCATATTACAAGCATGGCAATTTTACCTAATAATGTGATTGATTTATATTTCCTGTTTTATAAAAGCATAATTTGTTACATATATCCAAGTTGATGAAGTCCATGCGAAATCAAATAACTATATGTCCAGAACTGCTTAATCTAGTTTTTGAGTTGAACAAATATTAGAAACAGAAGTGAAGGGATGAAAGATTAAACATGTTATCTAGTGTTTTGGAAACATATAATACAAGAATAATCCAGCACTGAAAAGGGAACAGAATCCAGTACTAAAAATCTAAGTTCCTTGCTTAAGCGATGAACAACTAGTTTTCAACTATTTATAAACTATATATACTTCCAAGCTTATATGCTTAACCAGAGACAAAGTTGGTAGAACATTTGTGACTGCTTGCATTTCAGCTGCATGAAAAACAAATATGCATCAGAATATGAACATATTTTTATGTACTACATTATTTATGAATGAATTTATATTTGATGTACTATTAATGAATAGATGTTATAAACTGTTGGTGAATCACACAATAATACTTTATAAAAAAAATGCAATCAATCCTAACAATATATTTAAAATTAATTTTTTATGAGATATCATTATATAATTCACTTTATAAACTGATTGAACATCAAATATAAATCCATATATGAATAAAAAAAATGATCAAGTAGCATTAATTATGTTTTCAATACACGTGAGATGCAGTCATGCAGAATCAAATACCTATTATGAAGTATGAACAAGAAAAAATGGAAAGAGATGAGGGAATAGCCCCATACATTTGAGTACTGTTTAATGCTTCAAAGTTAATAGTTAGATAATAGCATATAACCTTTTCCAATTTTAGGATTGTTTCCCAATGTACCAGTATTGATTGATCCAAACACAGCCGATCCGACTTAAGTTAAAGAGTGTTGCATTTTTAGTTTTCACCATTTATTTCCTTAATTATGACTATATGCACATGTTGTCAGAATATTGTTCTCTTCCATAGTGATTATGCAAAAGCATATTATTTTGATGGGCCAAATCTAATCTTGGTTAATTGTAGATGAAAAACCTTATACAAGTTGGAGAGCAGTTTGGTCTTGGTTTGGCTCCAGCTGGAGGTTTACAGGCAGAAAGTTCCGATTATAGGGTTGTGAAGTTGCAGTCTGGTACACAGACCCTTGTATCAGGTTTGATTGTTGTTGCGCTCTTTCATTTTCTGCTATCTGCATAAATAAATCATCCAACATTATTTTCACTTATGATTAATATCTAACTCCTCTATGTATATGATTGAAAGAGGCAATCAGAGAGAGAATACCTTTGCTCGCAGGTACATGTTATCATTCTGCAGCTCAACTTCCTACAAAACATGCACTTACAATTTGTTAATAATAAGAAGAGGATTTTTACCCTCCTCTTATTAACAATAAAGATATAATAGTAGGGAAGAACATTTACCCTCTTTTGCATGAACTCAATTTCTGCAACTAGTAATTCGTTCTGGTAGAGTTTAAGAGTGTCAGCAAATTATCATCAATATAACATATATATATATAATATAGATAATATAATATAATATATATATATATATATATATTCTACCACCCCCAAGGTGAAGGACAAAACCTTTTTGGATCTGATTCTACTAATTCCTTTCTCGAGTCTTCCCTCCAGGTTCTTTAGTTCCTTGAAGGTCAAAGAGCTAAGTGACTCACCAACGATATGCCTAAAAGAAACATCTTTGATGAAACTTTTCCAGCAGAGAATGAACAAAAGGAAACAAAACAACCATTGATAACATCTTTAAGTGAGCTTGAAAATAAAAAATTATATACGCATTGATGTTACCTGTTCATGTTCTGAGCATCACGAATTTGTCGTCGGAGTTTCGTGGCTTCTTGCTGGTAAAACTGATGAGTTGATTTTTAAATAGAGATAGTATCAGAGTTAAGTATCAGTTATTTGACTGTTGACCAAATATATATATATAGTTAGAAACAGAAATAGTAAAAATGATTATGGATATAGACTTATTTATATTTGATGAACAGGTATATCCTTTTTACGAATAACTGTATCAATTTGTTTACAATAGTGGATAAGCTTTTTTTTGTTATTAACTGCTATAAACAAAATATTTAAGTCGTATTTGGTGCATAAAATGATGAACAAGATAAAATGATAATTATTTTATATTATGTTATTTTTTATCTAAAAAAATAATAAGTATTATAAAGTAGATTAATTATTTTTTTGATATAAGATGATTCAATCATTCTAAAATGAAGATAATTATTTTTAATTTATGAGATTGAATTTACATATCTTATTATATCCTTAAAAATTATATCAATAATTTAAATTGTATAAATTTGAGAAAAGATAATTTTGATCAATAAATAAATTATTTTATCTTGATCTTTGTACACATCAAACATAAAATAAGATATTATTATTGAATCTAATTTTATATATAATATCATCTTATCCTATCTTACTATAATCTTATATACCAAATATATTTTTAAAGATATATATTAGAACTTCATTACAGTGTGAATCTGTGTACTTCTTTAATAAGCAGCAGATCAGTTATACCCTAAACCCATAAATGTAAGAAAATAGTTTTTTATTCCCTAATTCCCTTCCACCTCTTTCCTTTCTGTTTGCTTTCTACCAAACACAAGAAACACATTTTCAAGAAACAATTGTTGATAGGAAATATCCCATATATCCAGAGCGAGTTGCAAAATCATGTTAGCAGTACTTTCATGAAAAAAAATGATAGAATTTGTTGATTAAATACGTGCTTGCTATCTTGTTCGAACTCGGGGTAAGTGTTAGATCTTAATCTGTATCTGACACAAGTGCATTAATTTTTTTTAAAAGTTCTTATTTTTTATATATTTTAAGTATTGAACATATGTATTCATGTTTATCAGATATCTGTCAAATATAAATACTTCAAAACAAAATGAAGAGACCGAATAATATACACAAAATTATCAAGAAGGCTCCCTTGAATGGTGAATTTCCTGTCCAAGTGGGCTATAATTGCTCAATATCATTTCTTTATATCTCCTCACAAGTAGAAGGGAATCTTATCGATCCCTTTCTTTTCCTTCCATGTTTAAGGCACTTCTAGGTCACGTTTTCTAATCTAGATTTATATGCTTACTATTTACATGACCCTTACTAAGAGTTTGGCGGTGAGATTGACTCCTATAAGATTAAAAATAGTAGTTGTGATGAGATTGAATATTGTACCAGTAAAATTAAATTAGTAGTAAGATGTGTTTGGATACAAACATAGTAATAATAGTACAGTGAAATCTAGTAGAAAAAAATTATAGAAAACATTAGATTAAAGGTAGTATATAATAAAAATTTTAAATTATTTGATATTTTTGAAGTTAATAATTAATTAAAAATTACTAAAATTATTTTTGTATCAAATCACAGTTTTATTAATAAATAATTAAATGGAGTAGTAGAAGTAGGAAATTTAGTTTTGTTCATTTTTTTTTCTAAATACAGGGTGCCAGGAGAGCTGCTTATGGTCTAAATGGAACTTGCCTGTTGGGTTTCCGTATTGGTGTCAATCTAGCTAGATTCAACGCAAGATCAATTTTTTGGAGAAAAGCCCAACCGATAGTGAATCATGAAGTTGTCGGCAAACAAGGTTCGAGGAATCAGAGATTTGGATTAAGCAATCAAAATTAGGGTGGGACAGTCTCAAGGCATTTTGCTGGTGATGATGTTGCTGTCAATTGCAAAACATATCTTCAAGCTTTTATGCAAAATGACATTTCAAATACGTGGAACGGGTTCTCGACGATATTGACCATAAGGTTGCTGGTACCGTTATTGAGGATGGTTATGTGACTGTTAATATAAAATCGTGTCCTAGAGTCGTGGATGATGAAGTTTTGCACAAGTTGGATATATGCTTGATTGGAGTCACTAGTGGATACTATAAAATAGGGAGGCTTATGGAGAATTTTAAAATTCAAGGGGTGTTTGATATCATTGTTAAAAAGAATCTCAAGTAGGCAATTCTTAATTCAATTTGAAGATGAAGAAACAACGAATACAATGATTGGAAGGTCATGGCTAAAAGAGTGGTTTGATGAAGTTGAACCATGGTCAGAGAATTTCTATTAAAATATCGAACTACGTGGCTGACTTGTTTTGGAGTACTTATTCACACCTGGAATTATTCAACAGTCAAGAACATTGCTAATATCTGGTGTGAGTTATTGAGTTTTGATGGTGCAACACTAAAGTTCCAAGATTTTAGTAGGGGAGCTATACTGATTATGACTAATCAATTGGACAAAATTGATGAAGTTATTTATAAAGTATAGTAGAAATTCCTTTCCAGTTACGGTCACTGAAATTGGTTTGGAGTTTGTCTCATTATTTCATTGCCATTGTAAAATTTCCATTGCTGAAAACACTGGTAATGAAAGTAACTCATACTTTGATCATAGTGTTTGGTAAATTCCAGTGTTGAAGAATTCATGAAAGATGAACAGGTCATCTGTAAAAAGGTAAAAGTGGTAAGAATGCTGGAATCAAGATTTCAATGATCGAGGTTGTTATTGAGACCAAGGATAGGTGCATGTTTCTCGAAAAGTGAGGCATCGAACACGAGATATTGGCCTGGATATAGTAATTATGGATGAGTTCCAAATGAAGGTCATACTGTAAAGAAGAAGAAGCTAGGTAGGAAAAGTAGCTCAAATGATCAAGCACTTTCGATTGGGTTTAATGGGGATGAGGAAAAAGGGTCTGAAGTTGGGATTAATGGTTCAAGAGACCAAGAACCTAGTAAGGGTGGTCATTTTAAAAGATGTATGTCTGGGCTAATAAGTTTGGAGGGTGAAACCCAACCCATGTCTCCTTCATTACAGTCTAAATATCAAGTTGAAAAGACAGGGTTGTCTGACTCAGAAAAGGCATGAGAGAAAGACCCAAGCATTGGAGGATATTGAGGAGGCTCCGCACAAAAAAAAAAAAAAAATTCCTTGAAGGCAAAGAACATAGGTAAAAGGTCTAGGATGTAAAATAAAAGCTTCTAATTCTAAAACTGGCAGCAGTAATTTCGCAAATGAATCCCCTTTTGACGGAAATTTTGGAATCGATTGAATGTTATTGGTAAAGAGGCTTGAGCGACTTGGGAGGTAGGGGAAAAGTTAGGTTTGAAGGCCTAGTTGATAGGTTAATTGAATTGGAGGCTAGGGATATGAGGCAATCCTAATTGGCTCAGGTTTATTTTCTACACTTTATTGTAATTTTGTCGGATTTGGGTTGTTGTTATTTCTTTGTGTTTTGAATTTGAGGATTTTATCAGGGATTAGAGGTTTGGGTAGTCATGTGAAAGTTGAGTTTTAAAGACTTTGGTGATTTTTAATGAAATTGTGATGATGTTAGTACATGAAACTTATGTTTTTTGGCTTGTCACTAAGCGGATGAGTATTTTGGATCTTCTGAGGTATGTGGAGTGACATTAAGTAGTGCAATTTAAGGATACTAATAGGTTGTCTAGTATATTGAGATGGCATTATGGGTACGATTACATGGGGCTAGATTATTGGAGGATATCATAACAATATTTTTAGATGGCTACTATACCATTTGATTACGGTGATGGTCGTGAGTTGTGGCCTACCAGGATTGCTGATGAAGAATTGATTACTACGGAAGCCAAAGCTTCTTGGATTTTCAGGGCTGGTTCTCTATTGTTTGGGGTCCTTAGAATAATGATATGTCACTGTTGTGATTGATTTCTTTTCTTGGGATCGATTATTGGCAGTTTGGAGCTTTAACATGTGGGTATGCTTTGATTTTTAAATGATGATTGGTATGGTTTAAATTGCTGTTTATTAAATCTTTGGTGAAGGTTTACTGTTCAGAGTATTAAAAACAAGCATGAAACAACATTTGGAAGTTTTGGGCCATCGCAAGATGAGTTTGGTGGAATTCAATTAGTTGTGCATATTATCAAATTTATCATAGCTAATCAGTTTGTAGTTTAAGCAGCAAAGTTGGGATGGTTTTCTTGTTTAGTTGGTGAAATTTGATTCCATTGTTATTGTTAATTGGTAATGGTATATATCAAATGAAATTTTTTAAAAAAATTTAAATATATATTGACTTTTCAACTTTTTTATTTACTATATTATATTTTTAATTTTTAATTTATATATAAATTTTATATATTAAGTGTTATTCACTTTATTTAATTCCGGATGAATATATATTTATTATTTTTTGAGAAATTTATAAATTGTTTATTTGTATTAGAGTTTAAGGTTTTTAAAGGACATTTTAGGACAAACATTAATTACTTAAAAGTAAAATTGAATAAAAAAATAATAACACGATAAACATGAAATGCTAGTTTCTAAATTTATTAAGGTTATTTTAATCTTAAAAATTTAAATATATGAATAAAATTATACTAAAAAATTGATAAGTATAAAAATATTCAAAGTAAAATGTGATAGTTAAGGATGATAAAATAATTTGTACATAACGTGCTTAATTTTGCTGAATTGCAGCACTGATTAAATCCAAACGGGGCATAATAGACTCAACCGGTTATATATGCAAATTTTTGTCAGCCAAACATGCAACAGATTGCCTGAAACTGATTGCTCAAGTATAATATGGATTCTAATTTAAGGTGAAAGTAAGTGAATTGGTCCAGATTTCTTGCATTTAATCTCGTGAACATGAATGTCATTGTGCAACAGCAATCCTTATAAATCTTCAATAAAACTACTGCTATAATGCTTGTGGGATTAAGAAGTTTAGGCAGTTTATGAAATAAAACAACAAGAAAAATATTTTACTATTTTAATGTGATTATGTAATATTGCATATTAAATATTTTTTTTCATGTGATTATGTTATATGGTCAGAATGAAAAGTATATTTATTGATATGAAATAACTTTTTTTAGAATATTTTCTCTTCTTGAACGCCTACGAGCACATCAATGTTGTCTAGCATTATATAGAGCAAATTAACTAATGTAATAATTTTCTTACTTTTAATAAATTGAAAATATATATTAATCTCATTTTTTTCCTTTTACTTTTAATAATGAGATCAAAATCTAAAGGAGTATTAGAGATGCACATGCATATGCATGGACGTACACACTTGGTCATATACTTACAATTCATCTCCTACACAAAGATTACATATAGACTATATCTCTATCAGAACTCTAAAGATCAAAATGCAGTCTATATTTATGGACAAATTAACTTGTTTACTAAGTAAACTTGTTTATCAAGCGGTATCTTAGCAAATCTCACAAATATTTCAAAATATTTTTTATTAAATCTTTTGAGATTTGAGTTAATATTTTAGACGAACTGAATTTTTGGTCTTTATGTACAATTTTCACAAGCTTATGCCAAGAATTGATAAAAGCCAAGACAATAACAAAAACCAGCTCATAACTACGTATGAGTATATGACTAACACAGGCACTGAACAGTGTCATTTCAACATTCAGGTAAAACCCATCCTTGTAAAATCCTGATGATCTTATTCCCTTATTGTAGTTATGTAAGTTCAAGGATAAGAAAGAATCATGGGAGTTAAGACAGAGGAAAACAGAAGACTGAGTCTCCAAGGAGCCTTTGGTGACTATACTGCCCGATGTACATGTATGCTGAGTAAATAGATAAAGTTATTATCTGCATAGACTTGTATGCTTTTTTCCGTTCACTTTTCTTAATTTACCCTTTTTTTTTTCTGTTTATGAATAATATATATTTTTTTTTGGAGCAGTTCTTGGTTTGTAAGCTATATAATGCAGAATATTTTGCAGAAAAGGGTCCTAAAGGACATGGAATATATGAGCTGTAAAAAAGACATTACCTGAAAGGATGAAATGAAAGCATCTTAAGATTTTCTTATGAAAGAATGTGAACCATTTGTTCAATGAAAGACCATTAAATTTACTTGATTAGCTATAGTGAACTTGCCTGAGTGTTAGCTTCAGCAACAGATCCTGGGTTTGATGCATCTGAACATGCTTTCTTGTATCTGTCAATTGTTGCTCTGACACTGCAAAATTATCAACAGTCCTTCAGGTTATTTGAATGAGATTGTACACCGTCTGATCCCAAAAGCATCATTTCGTTCATCATATGTTTATACCCTTACTATAGTACTTGAGTTTCTTTGTTGCATATACGTAACAGAAGAAAGTAGTCAAATATTCTGAGTTCAATTTCCTAATTAGAGGACTATATGAGGAAAAAAAAAAAACCCATTTCACTCAATGCTGGCGGAGGAAAGATAACCACATCATTTTGTTAAAATTCTATGATCCAGCCAACAGCCGCTGTTAGTAAAGTGCTGAATTTTTGGTTCCAAATGATAAGGGTTCAAATTCTGATAGTCTTAAGTAAAAAAAAAGAAAAAAATTCTATGATCTAGCAAATAGATTTTCAAATTCACTTGGAAATTAAAGAAAATTATTTTACAAGATCATCTAAGAAAGAGCAAAAGTGATTCCAAGGAACATAACACCATAGAATTATTGCATACTGCTCAAGCATTTTACAATTATAAATGTCATGTTAAAATTGTAAACATTTGACGAGTGGCTTCTTATACAATAATAGCAAAGATGGAATAAGAGTACCGAAACAATGGACAATATTTTTGTATTGACTACTGAATATCTATCAGGCTTTCTTGTCATGATAAAAGGCCAAAGAATTTGACACTCTCCAACATAAAGGGCAGAAAGAGACAACTGCAAGATCAATACTCCAGATAACCTCACGATAAGTCTTATACATTTCTTATTAGAAATTCATGCCTTAGAGTGAGATGTTGAAATCATTCCTGAGGGTAATATGAAGACTTTTTGTGTGTATATGGACAAAACAAAATGCAAATGATGCAATATATTTAGTATTTTTAGTAGTACAACATCTCAAAAAACCAGATACTCCAGGTCATACATAATGTAGACAGAGAATAAGAAAGAAATAGTTTATTGAACAATCAGGAGTTGCTTGCACCAGAATATGTTTCACTTTCATCTTTGAAACCCTTCTTTTTTGCCATTCATTTTGAAACTAAATGTAGCTATTTTCTCTGTCCACAATCATCATCTTGGACTTACCTCAAGTTGATACGAGTCTTTCTATAATCTTAATCTCAATCATAATCTCTAATAATCTATGCAATTAATATCTATAATCTAAGTATAAATATATACATATATATAATCTATATTTATAAAATATATGGAATCCTTTTATCAAAATAAAAATAAATATGAAAGCCTTTTGCAGTGGATCATCTTCTCTTTTCTTTTCTTTTCTTTTCATACAAATGATTTCTACTAAAAAAAAAAAGATCTCTTCAAGTGGTCTACAAATATCTAATGACCAATTTCAAGAGACAACTTCAAATTGATCTATACCTGTTTTATGTTATAAACATCACTATTGTCCATATGGCTGATGCCAATTTTACTTGAAATTAGTAATTAATCTAATTTTTTCACTCTATATATATCTATGTCTTAGAAACAAAAAATATCCTTGAGTTGCTCTTATTTTTATACCAAATCCTTCATTGTTTACATCAAACTGTGTTTGTATTTATATCATGTTGAGCTAGAATAAGCCAATGAGATATTATCTCAATGATAAAGAGGAGATATTGAAACTTTTAAGTTTTATCATGTATAGGTTTTAGTCAAACTTTATGTTTATTTTATTTGGTTTGTTTGTTTGATTAATTTGTCTATAGAGTTTTTTTTTTGTCTCTCTCTCTTTATATATATATATATACACACACTACTTTTTAGTCCCGTGCTATGAACATGATAGCCATAATGTATGTTAGATGATATAATTTATAAGGTAGAAAAGGAAAGAAAGAAGAAGTTTAAGTGTAGATTACTTGAAAACAATGAGTAAATGTTCTTAATTTGTTATCTATAGTTTAATACATAATAATAAGATAAAGTTTTAAATCATAATAACTTATTCTGCTAATGCAAATATCAAAATAAAATTAAATGAATATATATAATATATATTAAGTCAATATTTCTAACAGTTAATATTATAAATGATCCTCCAAATTATAATGAAATGTTTAATATTATACTTAAATTTTAAAAACTCTATGTATCCAAATTATGAATCTATCAATTAACATGGCACTTAGAAAGTTATTTGTTCGTCATATATTATCATTTGAAACTAATCACGTTAGGAGTAAATACTATTTTAATTAACAGATTCAAAGTTTAAGCACCACATAAAAAATTTATAAAATTTAGGTATCATATTAAATACTTCACTATAATTAAAAGTCATTCATGACATTAATCCAAACTCAAATTAAATATAAATAAATTTAACACATTTTAAATTTTAATTTAATTAAAAATTAATATAATACACGTAATTATTAAATTTGAATAAAATCACATCTTACTCTTACAAAATAATTCAAAGAAAATATTCATTCAATATTTAATTTTCAAGAACATACCAAATGATAATTTAATATAAATTTATTTTCAAAATTCAAATTTTCTCGGTTAAATTTTTTTAGTTTATCAAACACTACCAAGTCTTTATATTTGTGCATTTTGAAATTTCTTATTTGATTTTTTTTCTCTTTTCACTAAACTTCTTCTTTATACAATTTTTTTTTCTTCCCATTACTTATAAAAACTTTGTAAGAAAATAAGCTAATCACAATCCTTCTTAATAATCTAAAAAATATTACTAATTATTTTTAATGTCAATAATGTTTTAATTTATGATTCTTTGCAATTGTTTACAATTCAATTTAGATAAATGTGTTCTCTAACATTTGTATAAAAATAAGGAGATTTTAGAATGAACCCTAAATGAAAAAATTAGCATTTTTATTTGTATGGATGTGTATAAATTAGCATTAACATGTATCAATATATATATATATATATATATATATATATATATATATATACCAAAACTCCTCACCTTGTTAGTGCTAGTCCATCATTGTCACTTAAGCAAATACATCGATGCACACAATTTATAATTTTTTAATAGTTATAAACAGATTGATATTGTTAAAATTAAATTGGGATGGTTATTTTTTATTGTTTCAATCTTTTCAATTTTTTTCATTATTGTTACTTATTTGTATTGATTGTTTTTATAAATGTTTTATCTTATTTTTTTGTTTCTTATCAAAATTTTTACTTCAAGTTAATGTTGTAAAATTGAAAATTAATTAAAAATTTTTAACACTTTAATTTCTTTGATGTGTTTGATAATTTATCTAAGGAAAGCAATTGATGGAATATTTTTATGAAAAAAATTTGAAAAATATAATGTAGATAAAACCTTTTTAGTATATTCAACAATGTCATTTAAGGAAATTTTTATAATTTAATTACGCTATTGTTACAAAAAAAAAATAGTGACACTAATATTAAAAAAGCCCTTGAACTTTTTTTTTTTATTTAGATAAATTCTTATATTTTTATTACATCCAAATAAATTATCGATCTTTAATTTGCACCTAAATAAACTTTTAACTTGTAATTGTATCCAAATAAGCCATAACTTTTAATTTATATCTAAATAAGCTCTTAACATAAATTATTTTTTTTATTTGAAATAAGGGTTTATTTGGATACAAATAAAAGAATAAGAGCTTATTTTTATATAATAGAAATATAAAATTTTATCTAAATAAAATAATAAAATTCAATTACTTTTTTAATATTTTAGCCTAAATAAAATTCATTAATACACTTATAATATGTGAAAACATACATGATTACAATATGCAAACATTTCACTCTTTTAGGATTCATTGTCCACAGTTTCATCCTTTTTATCGTCTTCTATCTTTTTTTTTTTTTCCATCTTTATAGTATTCTTTAAAAAAAAAAAAAAAACTAAAAATATACCAATAATGAACGTGTCATGTTGGATATACATGAATTATTGAGTTAATTTGATTAGTGAGTTGATGAATTATGATATAAAATATAAGTGAAAAAATAATTAAATTATATTTTCTATGTACTTAATCTTTCTCGTTCTATTTATGTTATGCAAACATACAGGTGAAACATATCATGTATGCATCACATTATTCAATTCAAAGTATTTTCGATTTTCTGTCTCAAAATTCTTATTATTTTTCTTATTGGATTTCATACAACATTACATCATTTTATTTATTATTTATTTTTATTTTATGTGTAAATAATATTTGCTGTCTCAATAAGAGTCTACTAATAATAAAAAAATTATTTAAATTAAAATTTATAAAAATTTTATTATAAGTGTTTTAGTTAATCACTTTTAATACTTATAGAATTAAAATTTTATTAAAACTATTTTAGTCAATAACTTTTAATATTTTTAAAGCTCAGACTTTTATATATAGCTAATATATGCTATTTTTTTTGTTTCAGGAGAGGGTATAGCCCTTATAAGAGGAAAGGGGGGAGAAGATTCTGGCTCAAAACTATTACTTTTATGTTCTCATAAAACTTAAAAATTTCAGCTTTAATTATTTAAATTATCTTAACAACATTATTGGAAAATAGTCAATTCAAAAAATTTTAGTATTTATTTATCGAATTGTAATTAATAACAAGTTGGAAAATAAAAAATTGATTAAAAAATTAAATCTAGCTAGGACAATATATATATGTGGGGTGGAGAGATTATGATGTTATCTAGCTTCATATCCTTAAATCTTATATGCAATCAACAGATTTTAACATGCATTTCTATACTTAGAACTATATGGGATCAAGGGATCATGAGAAAAGAAGAAGAAAAAAAAAAGAAGGAAAGAGAGCTAGAACAAATATTGGCCAAATGGCAAGGCCAAGCACTGCAGAACAAAAAAACCAGGGAGGCAGCTGTTTCCTTAATATTTTCGAGCTACTGATTGGTTGCCTGTGCCACTCTGGGACAAGATACCCCAACATGATTGGCTGGAAACCCTTAACTTTATGTAAGATGAAAAGTATCACTGGCTAAGCCATTCCACAACATGTAATGACCAGAAAGATCCTAAAATACCCAGAGATCCTTTCCTTGGTTTGATGCAGAAATTAAAATAAGATATACAAAATGAAGATTTTTGAAAAGACTTTGTAACTTTGGGTGGCAGTGAACCATGAACTGCGTGACTGATTTGTAATAATGATAATCGAAACAGTTTCAGGCTGTGCCCAATGCTGCACGTCCAAGAAAGTGCAGAGAACCTCATTGGTTCGTACCCTTTGTTTTCCCCCTCTCTGATCCCCCATCTCTCCATCACTTCAACTTTTTATCTCTCTCATATTGCCAGTATATATTTTGTCTTCTATTTTTCTATATTTATCTTGAATATTTATACATAATAACACAAATGCTTGACTTTTGTTGATATTGTTTATAAATTTGCATAAATGAGTTTGGTGAGATCTTTTTCATATCTTTCTTTTTAGCGTTTGTGACATAGAAATGGTGAAGCATATCCAGCCATTAAACTTGGGAAGTTTGTTTCCCAAAATATGTAACTTTTTCTCTCTTTCCCTAAGTAAATAATTAATAAAAAATAAAAACCTTTCCATTAGATTTGGCCCAAACAAAACTATCAATCTATAGAATTCGTTGGTCTAATAGTAGTCTGTTTTTGTTGTTTAAAAAAAAAAAAAAAAGAGATTTTGAGGCTTTCACCTTACATTTTCATGATCGTTGTGACATGAGAACGTTGTAAAATTTAAGCAGTATCTTGTTACATAATGAAAAAGGTGATCAAAGAATATTTCACCATTTGAGATTTAAAAAATAAAAAATAAAAAGGAATAGCAAAAAGAGAAACCAAATAAAAGGAATCATTGAAACCAATGTTGTCAGTAGTGACGAACTGAAAAATCTTGCCTGACGTGACCAAAGATTCGTATATTGTAAAACTAAGACAAAACCCTAGCTTTATCCATCCAAAATGGTAAGGAAAAAATGGAGTAAAACCAGGATTCCTTTTTGATTTGTGTAAGAAATTTGTTCTGGGAATTTAACAATAGGTATCCGTCTCAGTTTTGAAACCCTAATCTTCAAGTTTAACACTTCTTCTAACCAAAAAGAAGTTCAGAAGATTAATTGTTTGAGAAAGAAACAAAAGCCAGATACCAAACATTAGTGTATAAATTCCTTTTTTTTTAAATATTTTTGACAGACTAAGATTAGATTTGATGAGAGAAATACCCATTTGGGAAAAAACCCTAATCTAAGGTCTGATTGAGTGACTGGTTTTGTCATACATCCATTAGACCATTACCTTAAACTCTGTCAGCTGATTGAAATTTGACTTGTGACGACAAACAAAAGGGACAACAAAAGACTACTCTATGAATCTGAGTTTTGAAATCTGAAGTTGGGTTAACATTTTCCTAAGAATTATTTAAACAAAAGAGATGGAAGATATGAGGAATGGACTAATGAGAGCGTGACACAGTTTGTGTTTGTAGCAGTCGTTTCCTGTATGTCAAAGATGACATGTGGAGCGATAGTAAGAAAAGAGGGTCTGCTTTAACACATATGCTGCATATATCATTAAAACCCTAGTTGTTGCTCTTACAACTACTACTTTTACACCCATATGCTGCATATATCACCTATATGCAGCATATCTTTCAAACAAAGAGAAATGAAGAAAAACTATCTAATTGAGGCTTAGAAAAGTACAACAAACAGAACATAAGAAACCAGGTAAATCTTTGTTAGATGAACTCAATCTTTTTAGTTTAATAGCCAAGAAAAGAAATTTCTCAACTGCAAAAATCCTATGTTTTACTGCAAAAGAAAAAGTCCATTAAAAAGATGTCTTTAATAGAATAGAAGCCTATAAGCATTAGCATACGTAACTCCAAACATGAAAAATAAAAAAGAAAAACTGAAGAAATTTTATTGATGAATCAACTGAAAATGAAAATAGAGACGGCCAACATAGTTAGAAGAAGAAAGGAATTGAAGCAAAGAAAAGCAAAGAAAGAAGCAAACCTGTTGTTAGCATACTCATAGAGGCGACCACGGCTGGAGAAGATTATGAGAGCAACCTCAGCATCACAAAGCACAGACAACTCATAGGCCTTTTTGAGCAGTCCATTGCGGCGCTTGCAGAAGGTGACTTGTCGATTAGTCGTGTTCTCGATCCGCTTAATCTCAATTTTACCTCTTCCCATTTTTTTCTGGGAAGAGCTTTCCGGTTCTTGATTTGGAAACTCCGTGGTTGAAAGCTGAAAAACAATCAAACCCCAAATTTTGATAAACTTGAATTACAAAGAAAACTACCCTTTTGAGAGCCCTTAGATGAATTCGGACAACACCAAAAACACCTACTTATACTAATTGGTCACGTTAGATTTTGGTTTATGTGCTCTAACCTGGCAAGGAGACCAAGGAATTGACTTAGGAAAACAAAGGAAGGAGAAGTTCTTGAAGTCCTACTCTTCTCTTTCTTTTGATCAATATGGTTTAATTAGAGCAACAGTTTTGAGTTGCAAAAAATGGAAGTACGCTGCTTTGGCAGATGGGCATTTATAGTCAGAAAATTGACCCTTTAACAATCACCCAACACTATTTTCTTTAGTACATTTGTGTTGTAGAAGAGGAATAGGAGAGAAAGGGTGTTGGAACGCAAAAGAAGGATGCTTGATGTTCACTTTGAGATTCCATTAACCCTCCATTTATTCTTGTATGGGAAAAAGTGAAGGGTGATGATAGAGGGTATTTTGGAAAGTGACTAGCATTCTACCAATGGTCTTGAATGAGACATTGTGCTTAGCTGCCCTCAGAAAATGAAATTGAATTCAATGCACTGCAGCAGAAAAAGCTATCAAAATCAAAATTAGATGGCCTCCCATGCTATAGTTTGCCTTGTGAAATTTTGGGGCTGGGCCCTTTATTCTAGTATTTTATTCGGATCCTCAACCCTTGGTTGAAACTTGAAACTTTTTGCCGTCCCTCCTTCTCATTCTCTCTCTCTCTCTCTCTCTTACATTATTAGAATTTTTGTTAATGTATCTGCTAAGGGCTGTGAACCACACCCTGTGACGTAACTGAGGGTGACTCCCATGTGAAGTTCTGGTCATCTTCCATTCCTGGGTTCGTTTACTGTAGATTTGGAATGGGCATGATTGTGTCATATTTATAATTTATTAAATTCGTGTAAAACATAAAAAATTTATATTAAATTCATATCGATATTATAAATATAAATTTTTTTTTAATTTTTGTCAAAATACATATATAATTTTTTAAAAAATTTTAAATCATAATATTTTGATTATATATTTTTTATATTATTTTCGTATTATATCATTAAGTCGTTTTTAAAATTATTGAATCAAATTTATGGTAAGAACAGAAGAGACCCTTTGATAATTTTGCTGCACTCTATTTCACCTGTTTGAAGAGAAATGTAGAAGCGTGGGTTCCTCAACTTTCAAGACCCAAATTGCCAGTACTCATTATCATTGTTGCGAGCACCAACTAAGCTCCAGCTGGCAGCAAGCCGTACTAACTAAATTCTTCTAGTATATAGTTTGTTTTTGAAATCAAGCAAAGCATCGAAGCTAATCATTCATATAATGTTATTAACTTGTTCTAGTCTAGAATTCTAGATTCTAGAGATCTAGTGCATGTGAAAATGTTTGTATGAGTGCAATATTTAGCCTGCATACCATAATTCTTTTCCTTCAATGAACAAAAATAAAAAGGCCTGGTCTCTACAGTTCAAGTTCGGACGATCGGTTTCACTTTTTGCAGAGACCAATAAGTTAAATAAAGCCTTATAAGAGTAGAGGGATGGTGCTTATTGATGGGGATGGCCACCAGCAATCATTCCTTTTCTATGCAACAAAATGTATGACTTGTTCTGCATAGAGTGCATAATGTGATACAAATGTCATATATATGTTGGCAGATCCAAATAACTGGATAGAAGTCACAACTCCATTGAAGAGTATACTAAGGCCATTTTTTTTCTGAGGTGGGTACCAAAGTAAATTAAACGTTTTAGGTAAGACAAGGATTTTGTTTTCTGGCAATGAACTAAAAGGAAAAATGCTTCAAATTACCTAAGAGAAATTTTATTTGTACCCAAACCTTTATCCTAGTGGTTAAAGGTGCTTGAGGAGACATCAATCAAGGGCCTGGTTTCGAATTAGACCTCCAACCTTCTCTTTACTTATACTAAGACTTTGTCATTTTGATATAATAAAAAAAAAATAATTTATTGACAGACATGTATGATTTTACTTATTGCAATCAGCTTACAAATTATAGTTTAAATTAATTTACTTAATTTTAAGAGAAAAGATGAAGTTTGATTTAGGTGGTTTAGGGTGTTTGGAAAGTGAGAGTTACCAACTAAATTTATTTAGGAATAATAAAGTAATTTTTTTTAATAAAAATTTAAATTTTCTGCTACAATTAACAAAATTGTTGCTGCTTATAAAATTTCTCTAACCTTAATTAAAACCTGACTGCATTTTCACATGTTATTAAGAAAGTTTGAGATAATGAGGTAAAGCGCATTTTGTAATTTCAAACCATTTAGTAGGATTTCATTTTGATTTATAAATTTTAAATTATTTTATGATAGTCCCAAACATTTTAAAAAGATATCAATATGGTCCCTAATCAAATTTTGCAGGAGAATTACAACCTAGTTTAATAGATTCAGAATTATTACTGTCTATTATCATACTATAATGTATTTATTAAAAATAAATAAACTTTTTAGGAATGAAACATAACTATAGTTTTTGCCTTAATTTAAAAAATTCAACTTCTGGGAAAATAGTAATTTATTTTCCTTCATAATAATTATAGAAATTTTATTTATTTTTTAATAAATACATTTTGTTATGATAACAAAAAGTACTAATTCTAGATCCACCATGATTTTATTTTCTTTTTTTATTCTTATTTTATCAAAATTTATTTTCTCTATATTTATAAATTTTGATCAAAGAATATAAGATTAAATCTTATTAAATATAAAGCTAGAACTAAAAAAATAAATGAAACATACCAAAATGATGTTTTAACACTTGACTAAATAGAATTAAACAATAATTAATAATCTTAGAAAAATTTTTGTAAATTATTACTAGTATAATTTGAAACTCACTAAAATTATGCCAACCTAAAACAAATAACTTATTTACTACTATAATCTCTTGAGAAAATATTTTATTAGAAATAATTCATTCAAGATCACTTAACAAATAAGTGTAATTCTCTTGCTTTTAAGTTTAAAGTTATGGTTATAATGTAAGTTCTATTAATTAAGTCCTTTAGCATATACAAGCCTTTTAATTTCTTTTTTCAGAAAATAAATGTCAACCACCCGAGTGTAGAAATAATTTGGATATGTTTCATTTCTTTCTTTTCTGTTAAAAATAAATTCTAACTTTATTTTTAATAAGATATAATTTTATATTTTATCAAATTTATAAATATTGGGAAAATAAATTTTAATAAAATAAAATAAAGGAAATAAAATCAAGGTAATAGATTTAGAATTATTATTCTTTGCTATCATACAAAAATATATCTATAAGAAAAAAATTTTATAATTATTACGAAAGAAAAAAAAAGTACAATTTGCCTTTGATTTTAAGTTGAATTTTTAAAATAAGATAAAATGATACTTCCGTTTCCTTCTAAAATTTTTATAAATTTTATTTTTTTAATAAATATATTTAAATTATTTGGGTACATTTCATTTCTTTCTATTTTGTTAAAAATAATTTTTAGTTTTTAATAAGATTTAATTTTATATTTTTATCAAAATTTATAAATATTGGGGAAATAAAATTTAATAAAATAAAATAAAGAAATGAAACAATCAAGTTGATTGACCCATAATTATTATTTTTTGCTATCATACCAAAATATATTTACCATAAAGAAAATAAAATTCTCATAATTATTACGAAAGACAATAAATTACTATTTTTAACCATGATTTTAAGTTGAATGTGTAAAATTAAGGGAAAAAATAATAGTTTTATTTTCTTTTTAAAAACTTTTGAAGTCTCATTTATTTTTTAATGAATACATTTTAGTATATTAGTAAAGAGTAATAATTATAATCTATAACCTTAAATTGTAATTCTTTTGCAAAATTTGGTCATAGGGCATTTTGACACCATTTTAAAAAGTTTAAGACCATTATGAAATAATTTAAATTTTAGTAATAAAATAGAACTCAAATGAAAATTTTAAGACTACAAATGCACTTTACCCAAAGTTGAGTTCATGAGCTGAATAAAAATTGTGAAAGTTGTTGTCTAATATATTTTGTAATCCAACCTAATCTAAAGAGAGAGAAAAGTTACATATTTATTGAAAATAGAGGTACCTACAACAATTATTGCAATTACACCTAATAATTTCATGTACGGTATAATGATATAACATAAAAATAATATAAAAAATGAAATTAATATAGTTTAAAATTAACAAAAATCATATATAAGTTTGATAAATATAAAAAATATATATTTTATATTTGACGTGTCGATACAAATTATAATATGATAATTTTCATGTTTGACATTTATTTGATATATAATAGAAATATAGATATAAGTAAAAATATCAATGGGTAAGGTATGGCGATTAGAACATTCTTCATCTCGATCATTGAATTTTTATATTATACTCATCATCATACTTATATCGAATGGATATTTCAAATCATTCTCATTTTCATTTCCATAACTATTTAATGGATATGAGTAATTCTCACACCTATAACTTTTTAAAAAATAAAAAATAAAATTTATTTTTTAACTTTTTTCATTTTATTTTGTATATTTAAGTAATTTTTTTTTATAAATATATAGTAATATATATATTTTTAATAAAATATATTAATTATAATTAATCAAAAATAATAATTTATATTATTTAATAAAAAATTTATTTACTAAATATATATAAATATATATAAGATATGAATACAGAATATGTATTATATTACGTACGAGTCTATATCCTCGTATCCATAAAAATTTAAAATTATATTTATCATCATCTCTATACCCATAATAAAATATCCATTTCATTTCATTTGGATAAAACAATCCAAATTTTCATTATATATAAATAAAATTGATATCCCTAAATACACTCGATTAATAATTACAATCCATCTAAGATATATAAAAGGAAAAAGGAGAAACAGAGGGAGTACATACTAATTTAATTTAATGGCAACACAAGTCACATGACTATTAGTGGTAGGGAGGGTAATTATCTACACAAATTTATAAAGAGATTGAATTATAGGAAAGCTTGTACACACTAAATTATATTAGGATCATTTTAAAACGGATTGTTAAGCGTTCAATAAAATCTTGCCATCTCATAATTTTTTTAATAAAAATATTTAATTAATATTTTATGCCCCCTCACACTAAGTTAACTTTCATTAACTCATGATTAATTTATTTAAAGAATAATAAACTTTTAAAAAACTATTAAATATTATCATGAAAATAAAAAACCCAAAAAAAAAAAAAATTGCAAAATGACTTTCCTTTGTTGCTTGAGTATGAAATACTTTTCAATTAACAAATGGATTAATAATTGTTCTTTCTCATAATCTCAAGATTTTTTTTTTTCATTTTGATTTTATGTTGTTTCCACTCTATTTTTATTTTCTCTAGGTAAATAAGGGGGTTTGTGTCATGCTTAATTTGTCTATTCCAAGTTGTTTTGATGGATTTTTTCTCATCATAAAGGAAGGTTGTAATGTTCATTTTGTCCAGTCTCGTTTTAATTTAAATATAATTTGTTATTTATTTATTTATAGTTTATTATTATTATTATTATTTATTTTATTTCCTCTCTTATTTCTCGCATAGTCTGAAAGTCTTTAGGTGTAATAAATGCATTGAAAACACCCCTCGTACCACCACCCACCAAAATCAACTGCCTGCAAGTCCACCA